CAGAGAAACGCCTCCCCCCTCGGCCCCCACCTCCGGGCGGGGGTCCATGAGTGAGGGAGGTCCTCCCACGGTGTCGGCAATGCTGGCTTCCTTGCAACGCTCAGTGGTTGCCATTTCCACCCGTGGTCGAGGCTCAACCAGTAGCCAAGGCTCTCACAAAGAAGGAGCCCCGCTCCTTCGGCCACCTAGGTAACGCAGCAGTAGCAATATGATGGTCAGCTGACCGCATGTCCACAGTAATAAGTGACAGGAGCAATAGCGGCATTTGCCACATCTGTCTGACTGCAACAAAACACTAATCAAAAGTGTTCACAAGCTACATGATTAAGTTTTATGAAAAAAAAAACATAAACAGCTCAGTTTACTCAATGTTGCAATGTTTCAAACTGTATATCCTAAGTGAAACAATTCAGTTATGAATGAAAGTATTTGTTTTATTATTATATGGGCTGTTATCATAGAAAATAAGCTGTTATACTTCATCTTCCCATCAGCATCAGATCTGACTACAACTGCTACTGTTACAACTGATATTAACGAGACTGCTGCTCTAACGCGGTTGTTTGCTTAGGTAGATATATCTCAAAGGGCTTCACAGTATAGTAGAGCTTGATTTCCAATCACAACAAGCAATGAAATAACCAATTTATTCCACAACCGAAGCTGCTCACGAAGAACTGTCAAGGCAGTTGCAGAAAAACATGAAACCCCAACATATAACACGAGGTTTTCACCAGCCTTCAGTAAACTACCTAGCCTACAACTGCGCCAGCTACATCAATTCCCTCATTTTTTGCACTTCTTAGCTTGAAATTGTATTATCACAAATTTGTATCTACATACCATACATCCTTGAAGCCACTAAAGGACGTGGTTCCAGGAGAAAGGCTCGGGTAACAAGGACATTTCTAAACATAGATTTCTTTCTCCTCCATAAAACAAAAATAGTGTTCTTCATAAACTAGTCATTTTTCATATGCATATTTTAACAGTATTTGAAATAGATTCTTGTTCCTTCTACTTGATTTAAATGAATTATGAAAAAAACTAACACATATAATACAATGCTCATAAGGCTTTGAGATATATTATCAGTGTAAAGCTTCCTAAACAGTATATAATACACTCAGATCATGGTTCTCTATATGCCAAGGAAACTACAAATACTTTCCATCCTCATCCTCATATGTATATATTTTATACACATGCACATGCTACAAATCAAATAACTTTCAGACACTTCAGCTGGAATCTAAGGCATGCAGTATGTTAAGGAGGCCTTTGGCATTCCACCTTTGGAAAAAGACCTATTTTAATTCTTGAAGTGGAATTCATCTCACTCTATTTCCACCACACTGACACTTCCGTCTTGTCTGAAGTTAATACAGTTTGATCTGATCTTATAACATTAATTTTAAATTGATAATCAAAGGCTTTGTTGACATGCCAATAGAGAACATGGCAATAAAGATATATACATTTCCATGCATATAATGTACATATATGAAAAAAGTAATATGTTAATTTAGAGAAAGATTATTTATGATGCTAATTATTATGAAATATTTGCTTGCAGACTTCAATATTGTTTAACATGAATATAAATCTGTATGAAAAATCCCAATGTTACATTCTCACCTACAAAAGAGAAAGTACATCATTTAAGGTAACTGTGACAGATTTGCAGTAAAATAGAAGGGAAAAAAATAATTTCAGATTAATTATTATCCCTTTTCAAATCATGTAAACCAAAATTGACCATAACTTTTACATCGGATATACATGTAATCTGTCATAATAATATCTTTAATGAGAACTTTCCTTGTTTGCGTATTACCTGGCAAACTGTTGAATTTGCTTTATAAATATGTTGTTTTCTATAATATATGTAAATATGGGAAATAGATTTATTTCACTTACATGGAGACATACTATTTTTCTATTACATCCCGAACTACTCATGTCTTTATCCTAATACTAAATATATACTGTCTTTCCCCTCATGCTAAAGATACAGGTTTGTTAAAAGAAAAAATTAACTGATATAGCCTTAATAACCAATAAAATAGGAAGATCCCTTTCCATAAGCAATACAAAGAAATTATTTATTGGTCATGCATACATCATCAATTTTTCGTGTAAACATGCACAATAATTAAACAAATAATTGTTTAGTACTGTTGGCATGAATACTTTTAGTGTATTCAGAGTGTTACAATACTTTTTTTGCATGTAAATTGTCTGATAAATGCAATTATAACAGTTGCTAAGCATAAAAAGTATAGCGCATAGAAGCTCAACATCTAATTTTTTATCATATAATATTCAGTATTATAAATTCTTTGTTGTAGTACTAAAAATCTTGAAGCCTTAATTAGTCTTATAGTCTCCAATAATAAGTAAGGCTTTTATGGGTAAGAAAAACATGTTTTACATTCGAAATTGATATGTTTGATTAAATTCTTTGTTATATGATTATCAGAAAGCTAGCTTGGCTCTG